CCCGAAACATCAGCTTTCCTGCTCCTCTGCTGCTTGGCCTGCTGTGTTCATCCAGCTCTGCACCTTGTTATCTCAGATTCCCCAGCATCGGCAGTTCCTACTTTCCTTGACAGCAACTGCTCTGTCTTGTCCACAAAAACTGTGAACAGTGACATTCCTGAGTTGCTTTCCACACGGTCCCCTGTTTTGTAGGAACTCTGAAATGAGAACTATGTCCACTCTCCATCTCGGAGCCACCATCCTGGAGATGTCCTCTTGAAATTCAGTGGCATCCTCCCAACTGTCAATGGCCTGAATCGAATCCTGTGCAAATATCGAATTGGAAAAGCTTCTACTGAGCTACTCACCAGGTACAGTAAATATCCCAGATAGGCCAGTTCCGGTAGATTTTGGATCATAAATATCCAGACTAGATACTTATTTTCCTTTAGAATCTGTAGGAAGGAATATATTTGAATCAGTCAGAAAAGGACACATTAGCAGGGGACTATGATGCTGTCAGATAGAACGAAAGCCTCACTTGTCAGTAAGGGACCACTCCCCCTCTTTAACATTTCCTGTTGGGTGATGACATTGTCAATCTGGTTTCCCAGCTGCTGGATCCAATACATTTTCCTGTTAAATGCTGAATACCAATAAAAGCAGAAGAAAATTATGACACAGGAAACCACTCAGCCCATTTTGTATTTGCTGGTCACAAAACAGCAATCCAGCTGAATCATACCTTCTAATCCTTAGTCCGTCACCCTCTAATTTATGGTTTCTCCAATGCATTCTGAAGATTATTCTTAATGAGAAGACGGTTTCTGTCTCTTCCAACCTTTGGGTACAGCACGGTGGCTCAGTGGTTAGCACTGCTGCCACACAGTGTCAGGGACCTGGGTTTGATTCCAATCTTGGGTGACTGTCTGTGTGAAGTTTGCACATTGCCCCCGTGTCTGTGTGGGTTTCCTCCATGTGCTCCAGTTTCCTTCCACAATCCAAAGATATGCAGGTTGGGTGGATTGGCCATGCTAAATTGCCCATAGCGTCCAGGGATGTGCAAGCTAGGTCAGTTAGCCATGGGAAATGCAAGGTTACAAGGTAGGGGACTGGGGCTGAGTCTGGGTGAGATGCTCTTCAGAGGGTCAGTGTGGACCTGATGGGCTGAATGGCCTGCTTCCACACTGTAGGAATTCTATGATTCTCCCAGACAATGGGTTCCAGATCCTGACCACTCTCTGGGTGAAATAACTCCTCAGCTCTCCTCTAAACATTTAAAGAAATATTTCTAGTCTACTCCCTGGATATACACCTCTCTGTTAATGAAACGTTCCCACGTTGAGCTGGTGCAGCAAATGGAAATGTTGCACTGATGAAGTAAGGTGTATTTTCCAGGCATGGATCTTCAGACCTCCTGTCAGCGCAGTCGCAAAGCTGCTCATTCTGAAACTGACCATGTTACATCTGAACTGGGTGCACTCAAGGGTGACAAATATTCCTAGTGTTGGCTTCACTTACTGTGTTTGAGCTCAAGTCTTACACTTCATTCTCAGCCAAGTTAAACTGGAACTGGTTCAATTTCTTGACACCCCATTATTTTTAGTTTTACCAAAGCCAAATTGTTTCTGTTATATCCCTTGTGAATAGTTCCTAAAACTAGATAATCATCGAATCACAAGAAAAATAGATTATACAGTTTGCGAGTTGTCATATTTGGAACTTCTCAGTCAATGTAGAGTCATAGTCAAAGAGTCATAGAGTCATACAGCATAGAAACAGACCCTTCGGTCCAACCAGTCCATGCCAAACATAGTCCCAAACTAAACTAATCCCACCTGCCTGCTCCTGGCCCCTATCCCTCCAAACCTTTCCTATTCATGTACATATCTAACTATCTTTTAAATGTTATATTTGTACCCACATCCATCGCTTCCTTAGGAAATTCATTCCTCACGTGAACTACCTTCTGTGTAAAAAATTTGTCCCTCGTGTCTTTTTTAAATCTTTCTCCCCTCACCTTAGAAACGTGCCGCTAGTCTTGAAATTCCCCACCCTCGGTAAAAGACAACTACCATTAACCCTATTTATACCCCTCATTGTTTTATAAACTTCTATAAGGTTGCCTCTCAAACTCCTATGCTCAAATTTAAAAAGTCCCAGCCTATCCAGCCTTTCTTTATAACTCAAACCTTCCATACCCAGCAACATCCTGGTAAATCTCTTCTGAACCCTCTCCAGCTTAATAATACCCTCCCCATAGGAGGGTGACCAGAACTGGACAGAAGAGGCCTCATTAATGTCCTGTACAACCTCAATATGACTCCCAACTCCTGTCCTCAAAGGACTGAGCAATGACGACAAGCATGCCAAACGCCTTTTTAACCATCCTGTCTATATGTGACGCAAACTTCGAAGAATTATGTACCTGAACCCCTAGGTCCCTCTGTTCTACAATGGTATCCAAAGCCCTACCCTTGGCTGATGTACCAAAATGCAATACCTCGCATTTATCCAGATTCAACTCCATCTGCCATTTTTCAGCCCATTGACCCATTTGATCAAGATCCCTCTGTATTCTTAGTAAACCACCTTCACTGTCTACAATGCCACCAATTTTGGTGTCTTCCGCAAACTGACTAACCATGCTTTCTATATTCTCATCCAAATCATTTATATAAATGACAAACAAAAGATGACCCAGAACTGATCCCTGTGGAGCACCGCTGGTCACAGGCCTCCAGTCCAAAAAGCAACTCTCCACCATTACTCTCCATCTCCTGCTGTTAAGCCAATTTAATTGGCAAGCTCACCCTAAATCCCATGTGACCCAGCTTTACTAATTAGTCTACCATGTGGAACCTTGTCAAAGACTTTACTAAAATCCAAAGAAATAACATCTACTGCTCTGCTATCATCAATCTTTTTGGTAAATTCCTCAAAGAACTCAATCAAGTTTGTGAGACACAATTTCCCTCACATAAAACCATGCTAACGATCACTAGGCAACTTTTGCCTCTCTAAATGTCCATAAATCCTATCTTTTAAAATCACCTCCAACAATTTACCCACGGCCAAGTCAGACTCACAGGTCTATAGTTCCCAGTTTCTCCTTACAACCTTTCTTATACAAAGGTGCAATATTAGCCACCCTCCAGTCATCAGGCAACTTACAGTTCTGAGGAAGGGTTGACCCTAACCATTAACTCTGATTTCTCTCCACAGATGCTGCCAGACCTGCTGAGTTTTTCCAGGAATTTCTGTTGTTGTGTGTGAATGCAATTTACAGACTGCCTGACTTGCTGTTCATTCCGAAGGGGAGAATGAAACCCCATTTCTAAGAGTTAGAAGTAAATGGGCATTATCAACGTTCCATTGTTTTAAGATAGTTTTCTCCATCCGGACTAGACTGGGGGGAATCTCAAAGGTGTTGATGATGCCACACAATGTTTGAATCAACATGAACACCATCCCTTATTTTGAAAAGGTCTTTGAACTTGGAAAAGTCGTATCATGGTACAACCATGAGAATCACACATCCTAATAGAATCACTCATCATATCCCACTGAATTTCAATTCACTGTCACTAGCTCAAAATCCTGGGAATTCCCTCCCTAACAGCATTGTGGGGTCAATCTGCAGCACATGGATTGCAGCAGTTCAAGAAGGCAGCTCACCATCACCTTCTCAAGGGCAACGAGGGATGGGCAATAAATGCTGACTAGCCAGTAACGCCCACATAACACAAATGAATTTTAAAAAATACATTTGGAGTATTTTTCTTTATTTTCAAACTCATAAAAGCTTGCTAGTGGCATTTGGGGTCCTGCACTTTGAGGTTCAAAAACCCACACTACTTTCATCATTACAAAACATACTGATCATGGGCAGTAAAGGAACAAATATTCTGTCGACGACAAAGTTGTTTCACATTTTTCTGATTTCATAGAATCCCTACAGTGTGGAAACAGGCCCTTCGGCCCAACAAGTCCACATCAACCCTCAGAACATCCCACCCTGACTCATTCCCCTACCCCTGCATTTCCCTATGTCTAACCCAAACATCCCTGGACACTACGCAATTTAGCACGGCCAATCCACCTAGCCTGCACATCTTTGGCCTGTGGGAGGAAACCAGAGCACCCAGAGGAAACCCACGCAGATGCGGGGAGAACATGCAAACTCCACATAACATTTATTAACAGGTTTGGCAGACTGTAAACTTGTCAGCTTTCTTAAGAAAGGTTCCAATTGAAATATTGTTCCTTCCGTTCTCTCTGTATGTACCACTATTTCCAGCATTCCCTATTTCACTTCAAATATCCAACACCTGCAGTTACTGATTTGTTACTGAAATGGAAGAAGCTGGGGTTTACTGGGAGAGAAAATGATTGAAAATCTATTTAACCTATTGGGATGGGGGTTCTTTTCCATGGAGCTTTTTGCCAATCTCCTAGAACGAGGCTGAGTTAATTTGGAGTGAGCCAGATTGAAAACTCATTGAAGAGACTGGATCCTTGCAAGATGGTTCTGAGCTGAACAAGTGAGTGGTAAATTTTGCATCGATAATATCCACACTGGGTTAGCAACTAAACTTTAGCAGTCTACTTGCATACACATAGATAGTCCGTAAGCCTTCGCTCTTACAAGCTGCACCATGTTTTCTACACTTAGGCAAGTGGTGTGCATCCCTAAAGGGAGAGGGTGTGACCAAAAAGAAATTCTATAATTGTTCATTCTTAGATCTGTTGCTGGCAAAACACAATACTTACAGCTATGAGGCCAACTACTGCTTTAATAATGGCCCAGCAGATGCCCACTCCCAGGATGACAGAATGCCCAAGTGAAACATGACTTGCTCCTGAGGTCAAGACAAGTACACAGAGACACAGCTGTGGAGGAAAAGCAACAGTTATTAGGAGGATTTTGCTGCATTACTTTGAAGGACTATTCCACTGCAGACGGTTCTGCAAAATTTATTTTCATTTACTAAACAGGGAGTGGTCAGAATGACGCATTAAGGTACCCTCAAGGGACCCAATCATCTTCCTTCTTTGAGTGCACTTGATCAGGATTCGCCAACACAGAATGAGCCCCTGCCAACAGCGGCAGCAGCAAATAAAGCAGTTGGAGAAAGCCGGTTGGAGAGCCACACAACTCTTTCCATCTCGGTAGGAAGCAAGCACAAGGAATATCAATCCAGGGTACAATTCTAAAAGGGCAGTGCCAGAGCAGAGGAACCTGGGCACAGTGTGCACAAATTATTGATGGTGGCACAGTAGATTGAGAAAGCACCTAATGAGGCACAGGGTCCTGATCGATATAAACTGAAGCAGAGGGTATAAAAAAAGCAAGATGGTTCTGGTGAACCTTTGTAATGCACTCACTCAGCTCAACTGGAGTATTCGATCCAATTCAAGCAATATACTTTAGGAAGATGTGAAGGCATCGGAGACGGTGCAAAAACCATTACGGGGATAGTTACAGGGATGGCAGACTTCAGTTACATGGACTAAACAGTGAATCTGGGGCTGTCCACCTTCAGGAAGGGAAGGCTTAGAACGACATGCTACAAAATCATGGGTCATCTGGGTTAGAATAGATAGAGAGAAACTATTCCCATTGGTGGAAGTGTCAACTTAAGATAATCGGCAAAAATTAATGGTGGCATGCGGAAAACCCCGTACCGCACTGAGTGGTTCGGATCCATTGCGGCTTTCAAAAAACAATGGGATAATTATCTGAAAATAAACATGGGAATGGCACTGGGAAAATGGGACTAACTGAGTCGCTCCTGTTCCGGGCACGAAGGCCAAAAGGCCTCTTTCTGTGCTGCATCCATTCTATAATTCTGTCATTGTGTCAGGGTCCAGGCCCTTGGAAAAGGGCTGAGGAAATGACAAAAGCATGGAAGAGGTTTGTAGCAGTAGATTGGTGAAGGTGAGGCTGAGGGATGCATTGTTACTGGGTTGGTGGGTGGTGGAGGAGTCGGGGAAGGCATGTGCACTGCAGATTGAAGAGAATGTGGGGTTTGATGCTCAGCTGGAAGCCAAGATTGTGAGGAATTTGGTTTAACAGAGGAGAGAACTGGTGACTAGGGCCATGGGTCAGAGATACTGGGTTCACTCTTCAATTGGAAGAAATTAAATTTTGTCACAAATTACAAAGGGAATATAATATGAAAATGATAAAGATGAAGCAGCATCAATTCATACTTGAGACATTAACTCTACTTCCTTCGCCACAGATGCTGCCAGACCTGCTGAGTTTTTACAACATTTTCTGTTTTGATCCTAGGAGTAGGGACGTTTTGCTAACATTGTACAACGTGTTGGGTGAGACCACGCCCAGAGCACTGTGTACAGGTTCGGTATCTGTATTTAAGAAACAGATACAAATCTATTTGAATCAGCAGATCAGTGAAGGTTCACTTAACTAATGCCTGGGATGAGAGAATTATTCTATGAGTAAAGGTTCAACAGGTTGGTCCTGTATCCCTTGGAGTTTTGAAAAATGAGACGTGATCTCACTGAAACAAGCAAAATCTTGAGGAGACTTGAAAGGAGTGGATTCTGAAAGGATGCTTCCCCTTGTGGGAGAGATCAAAACTAGGGCTGTTTAAAAAGATGGGGTCTCCAAGTTAAAGTGAAGCTGAGGAGGTTTCTTTCTCAGACGTTTGTTAGCTTCGTCCGCAGGGAGCAATGGAGGTGATTACTTTTAAGACTGAATTATACAGATTCTAAATTACCAAAGGACTCAGAAGGGCTAGTGGGGGTAAGCACGAAAATAGAGGGCCCAGTCAGATCAGTTACAACCTTTTCGATTGCTAGAGCAGGTTTAAATGACACAATGGCCCACTCCTGCTCTTAGTTTACATCTTATGTTATTTTATTCACTTAAACACGACGCAACAGTGTCTGTGGGAGAAGCAGCCTGACGACATGGAGGCAGTGGAGGTGTCAGCAGAGGTGGTGGAGAGATAGAGACAGACGCAGAGTGAGCCAGTGACTGAGTGAGAATCACATCCACAGACTTGACAGAGGGTGGTTGATCATTGACATCGACATTTGTAACACTCAGAAGAGGGCTCATAAAGTACAAAGAGAACTTTGGGCGGCACGGTAGCTCAGTAGTTAACACTGCTGCCTCACAGTGCCAGGGATCGATTCCACCCTCAGGTGACTGTCTGCGCGAAGTTTGCACATTCTCCCCATGTCTGCGTGGGCTTCCTCCGGGTGCTCCGGTTTCCTCCCACAGTCCAAAGATGTGTAGGCTAGGTGGATTGGCCATGCTATATTGTCCATAGTGTTCAGGGATGTTTAGGTTAGGGGGATGGGTCTGAGTGGGAAGTTTAAGGGTCAGTGTGGATTTGTTGGGCCGAAGGGCCTGATTCCACGCTGTAGGGATTCTATGATTCAAATTATCCTGGTCCAGAAACATTCTCTGTGCCAACTCATGTAAATAACGTTAACTTTTTTCAGTTACCTGAGCTTGAAGATCAAATGTCACCATAGAAAAGCAGAAAAACACCATGAAGTACTGTGACTGGGCACTTTCAAAGGCTCCACTGACTCTGAAAGCCATCATGCTGGGACTCTTAATCAGGTAGATAATACTGAGCACCATCAGAAACACCCCAAATACCAGAATGAACCCGAATCGTATCTGAAAGAAATGTACAAAATAAGTGACGCTTGTCGTGTACAGTGATTGTTTCTCAATCAAATAGGCACTCTCTAACTGTCTGAAATATTACTGCTACAGTTTGGCAAGGTACTCCAGTCAATCTGCATTGACTTTACTGACTGACAGCTGGTCCACTGTTTCACAGAGCTAACAAGCTCCAGAATTGTCCTGGACTCTTCAGTAGGAAATCCAAGGAGAAACAAAATCCACCATAGGAGCATTTTAAGAAACTGCTCATATTTGCAAGTTAGAAAGATATTAGAGATGGGATAAATTCAGCATCCAATCAGCTACAAGGAGTCTGTGTGCTTTCTGTAAGGATGGACATGTCGACAGCTAATTGTGAAAATGTGAGGGAGGGCAGCAATTGGAGATATATGGGTCATGTGATGAAACGTCCAGCAACATGTTCCACTGGAGCTAACAGGCTGACCGAAACTCAGTTCACAATCCAGCAAGCATTGCTGGATCGGAACAACACAATTGAAAGCCTTTCCAGATACCGTTGGAATAGTGCAGGGATCCAATCCACCTTCTCAGCTAACATCTCTGGTGGAGAAGGACCGGAAATTATGACATTTTAGGGCCAATTATAGAGTCTGACTATTCCAGTACACTCTTGATTAGCTTCTCATGTTCCATCCACCATGAGATCGTCCAGTTGAACAATATCTTGAATTTTGCTTTCAAATCCAAGTGAAGCCTCTCCCCTCCCTCTCTCTGCAACCTCCTCCAGCTTCACAAGGTATCCAAACTCGGCTGATTCCAGACTGTTGGCCATTCCTGATTTTAATAGCTTCACCACAATCACACTGCTTTTAGGTGCTGGCCCTAGTGTGATGAAGCTTTTTGGTAATTTACCACTATTTGGAAACTTGGGATCTAAACTGGATAGAACCATGTATAGCTTTAAGTTTGAATTGTATTTCCATATTGTGTGGGTTAGGAAATGGGGTAGGTTTAGTTTTATTTTTGAGTTCTGTGAGTGGTCTGCATTGTCTGAAAAATCATTTACATACATTTAAATAAGGTTTTAAAACATCTCCTTGAGTTAAACAGTGTGTGCTTGAGAAAATAGTGTAGGAGAAAGAAAAAACATTGTGTTCTTGCCTTGTAACAATGTATCATATGATACACAGATAGACACAGAAACAGGTTTCCTGTTAGGAAGTAAAATCATCAGAAAGTGAGTAAGTGGAAAGTTTTTTTTCCAGAGAAGAGCAGGTCACATGCAGAGAAAAAAAGACCTTTGTCATCAGCCATTCAGTTTAGAAATCTACAAAACAGTCAGGGCAGAAGCAAAAAAAGTCTTAGATGGTTAGAAATTAGAAAAAGAAAAGCTCCAGAAACGAAAGGCTTTAAGGTGTCAGGGAGGAAGACACCCTGCAAGGCTGCTGAATTCTTGAGTTAAAGGAGCACATGTTAAGGAGTAGGTGAGCTGTGTTAGCAGAGTCTCATGAAGACAGATTAACCAAAAAAGAAAGCATCAAGTGAATGCAAAAGTTTGCCAGAAATCAAAAACAACCATGCCAACTGAACAAGAAACTTTAAAGTGGAGACAGGGTGAATGTTCACTGAAGTTTAAGTTGATGGTTATTGTTAAAGGTAGAAGGATTGAATCTTTACTTCAGATAATTGTAACAAGACAGTTTCAATTATTTCTTTGAAAGTATAAAGCAGTCCTTTTACCTTCAGTGACTGAACACTGCAGTAACCAAATTGCAAAAATAAAACTTATTCTCTAGCAAGGTGTTTGGTATGCTTGCCTTTGTTGATCAGTGCATTGAGTATAGGAGTTGGGAGGTCATGTTGCAGCTGTACAGGACATGGGTTAGGCCACTTTTGGAATACTGCATTCAATGCTGGTCTCCCAGCTATAAGAAGGATGTTGTGAAACTTGAAAGGGTTCAGAAAATATTTGCAAGGATGTTGCAGGGTTGGAGGGTTTGAGCTATAGGGAGAGGCTGAATAGGCTGGGGCTATTTTCCCTGGAGCATCGGAGGCTGAGGGGTGACCTTATAGAGGTTTATTAAATCATGAGGGGAATGGATAGGGTGAATAGTCAAGGTCTTTTCCCCAGGTAAGGGGAGCCCAAACTGGATGATATAGGTTTAAGGTGAGAGGGAAAAGATTTATAAGGGACCTAAGGGGCAACTTTTTCACACAGAGGGTGATGCGTGTATGGAATGAACTGCCAGAGAAAGTAGTGGATGCTGGTACAATTACAACATTTAAAAGGCATCTGGATGGGTACATGAATAGGAAAGGTTTAGAGGAATATGGGCCAAATGCTAGCAAATGGGACTAGATTAATTTAGGATATCTGGTCGACAGGGACGAGTTGGACCAAAGGGTCTGTTTCCATGCTGCACATATCTATGACTCTATGATTCTAAGACTGGTTTCACTCAGGAATCTGACTTGTCCAGTAAAAATGTCAGCTGGGACCATATTCCACACAAATTCCACAATTTCCTCCCTAAATCTCTCCAACTCTGTCTCTCTCTCCTCCTTTAAGATATTTCTCAATACCTACTTCTTTGAACAAGCTTTTGGTCACCTGACCTAATATCTCCTACATTATCAAATCTTGTTTGATGATTATCCTGTGAAGCACCTTGGGACATTTCATTAGGTCAAGGAGCTATATAAATGCAAATTATAATTGTGAAGTGCTGTGGATCAACTTTAAAGTTAATCTCTCTCTCATGTGGTTCACACCAACATTTTCCGAATTAGCAGGAGAGACTGCATAGTGGAAGAGACTTTATTCACAAAAAGTTTAACAGTATAGAAAGACTAATCTATCTTCTCTGTATTTAACAAATCCTCCAAAAAGCTACTGTAAACTCTGTTAGTTTACATTCCTCAGTTTGTCAACATCGAAGGTATATGTCGGCTCCTTTAGCAGCTGGATGTAATCCTCACTGAAGGAAAGCTCAGTGACCAGAAACATCTGCTTCCTGAGCAGCTCAACATTCATTCAATGGTCAGTGTCAAGCCTACAAGCAGCAGCTAGAGAGTTTTGTATTTCCCGTTTCATACTGTCTGGCTGATGAGCTGAACTTGTTTACTAAGCACCTGCAAAATGGTAATTAATTGAGAATACAGTGTGGAGCTGGAGGAGTACAGCAGGCCAGGCAGCATCAGAGGAGCAGGAAAGTTGACATTTCAGGCCTGCTGTGTTCCTCCAACTCCACACTGTGTTGTCTCTGACTCCAGCATCGGCAGTTCTTACTATCTCTGAATTAATTGAGAATGTAGTATTGACCTTTTTGGTTGCAGTGAGTGAGGGAGGCATGTTTGTCAGTCCCTGCCTTTCGAATCTCCCAGTTTCCCTGAATCACCCTGTGGGATTTTATATATTCACTAGAAGGGTTGCCACATTCTCTGGTTACTTGGCTTTTTACCTGGTATTGAGGCAGTGGAATGTCATCGTGAGTCTAGCATCGGCCTGGGTTTGTGTTTACATTCCCATAACAGCATCATCCACCAGGTCACTTCACAGAAACACAGGAGCATGAAGAATCAGGAAATGAAACTGGAAAAGTGTAAAGAGTTACCAACAAGACAAAAGAGTCAGAGTGATGCAAAAAGAAAGGAGTGTGTGAAAGAGTAGAATGCGAAGACAGAGTAAAAGTGAAGAATCAGGAGAGGGAAGTGAGGACAGATTCTGGCAATGAAGAACTGAACGTGTGACTGGCCATACAGACCCATCCCAACACTGAGCCTGTGTCGAATCCTGGAATTAGGGGCTTTGTGGGCATGAAGGTCTGGTTTCAGCATAGTGAGGTCCAACCACAGTGAGGCTGCAGGGGGGCGCAGGGGGATAACAAGTACATCACTGCGGTGGACCATAGCTAGGGAGGGGAGGGGATGGGCTGTAAACACTCTGTAAACACTCTATCACACAGTTAGTCACAACAACAGAGCTGGTGGATGTCACCATCGAGTATATCCTGGCATCGTCAGCAC